ACACTATCTTTGTGCTATAGAGTACAGTCTCATCTTTTATGGGCTATCATAAGAATTTGGTATGAATCAGTTTATTCTTTCTGTCAGTCTTATTTCTGTGCTTTAGAACTGATTTTGGGTAGGATATAACATTTCTGAACTAGAATGTGATCCCAAACTGGGTATACATTTCAGATGACAGGATCACATCAGAAGGCTGGAGATCAACAACCACCACCAGTCCTACATTTAGAACCTTCCTATGTCTTTCTGCAGGGATTTTAGCCAAGAAGGGAGTCTGTGTACGTAAACATATACATGCAAACTAATAATTTAGCCAGTGCACGTACCTGTGCATACACATAGAAATTAATAGTTGCATCTCATATTCTCTGATGGTCCCTAAACATTGTATTATCTAATCAGATAAATATGGCAGGTTTTCTAATGTAATGAATGTATACAAAATAAATTGTTAAAAAAGTCAGTCGCTGAGGGCTCAGTTAATCCAATTTGTGTGGTAATGATCAAAACAGTCAATTTACATAAAACATTACAGCTGTGCAATATTACAGTCCTGCAGTTCTGTCATCAGCAGGAAGGGTTAGCTACCTGCCATGGAAATGTCTGCGACGCACTCTGCAGAGTCATGCTGACAGTGAGTGGGACCTTCCATTAGTGTTGCCCATAGTGACAGCCTTGCTCCCTCCTTGCTCTTTCTGTCCAAGAGCTGTGAGTGTGAACATGTAAAGGGAGCTACAGCTCCTTCTACTGGGTCTTCAGATTCATAAGATTAAGAAGCTGAGATCCTAATAGGGCTCAGAGAAATGAGTGAAAGAAGGCCGTAGAGTTCTGTGCCATTTCTTTTTTTCTTTTTTTTGAATTCTGCTTTGCACATTCCCACTAACAGTATAATTTCAGAAGCAATCATGCATTTAAAGAAGTTAGCAGAAAGATGTCTGGGGACAGAGTGTTGGAATGGGGACAGCAGTACCGCTAAGCAAACTGATTGTCTGATCCACATATGACATCTCAGATGTAACAGCTTGTAAACATTATCTGTAGAGCTCCAAATAATAACTTTACAGATTTAACCAATCATGCTTTGAAGGCTGTCACTGATCCAGTGAAGCGTGACCAAATCCCGTTAGAGTGCAGAATAGATTCTCGTGGAAAGTCTTTCATATGCTGAGTTGCATATCTAGATCAGGAATGCAAAGACACCACATGCACTGTAGAGATGTATGCACATGACGAAATTAATACCTGCAACTGAATTCATTGCCTCATGGGCCTACAACAAAGGTTTCAAACCCTGCAGGGTACCTCAGTTTGCCATGGTACTAGGTGCTCCGTCAAAGAATATCACACTGACAAATTCCTTCTTAAAGAAAGACTGACTTCTCCATTAGCGAGTGTGGCAGATAGCTGTCACTGCTACATGAATATTCAAGAAAGACATAAGGGACTCCCTTAGAGTTTCAGCTGAAATAGTCTAAAGCAGACCAGGTCTTGCTGACATACTTGTGTTTTGCTTGCCCACTTTACACCATGCATTTCTTTAAAACTACAGCACAATGTAAGTAGTCATTTGTTAGACTTAGTTCACTGAACAGGATTTCTGAAGATCTGCTGAAATTCCTCGGGTAAATTAAGCGAGTCTTTTAGACACTGCAAAAAGCACGGGTAGAAAACTTGCACAGATGTGAAAGTGGTCAAAGGACTGTTACCATCCTGCCCAGTGGGGATATCAAGAATAACTTGGACTCTTCTTTATCTCTTTTTATCTTCCTTATGTGAAGAAAGTTCAAGAGTGTTAGATAGCTAGGTGTCTCCTCCTATTCTGAGCACTACACAAACTGTATTGTTCTGGCTGCAAGCCTATGCATGTGAACGCCAGATGAATTTCTAGTCCCTAATATAAAAAACAAGTAGTCATGTAATTTGTAAGGGCCATCGACCACATTATTACTGATATTAGCATACACAGATCCTACAGGATATCCTGCCTCCCAGGATAGCTAGGAGAAGTTAGCATCTTGTTTCTTCAAAAACTGCATTACACTGTTCACTGTGGTGATTTGCAGTCTTTTTTTTTTTTTCCTTAGATAACTCCAAGAGCTGAAAACATACTCTGTTTAAATGAACTTCCTGTTCTCTTTCTTAGGGTGGAAAGATTGCTTTTAATCAAGGATTGCTGCAGCATGGAAGAGAGATGCAGACTGTGTTCTCTGATCAGAAAAAAAAAACAAAAAAAAACAAAAAAAAACCTGCCTTTGGCTCAGACATATTTCTTAGGACCAGCCACAGTCATAAGGGTGTCTTAACACTGCACTTTGTATGATATTTTTTCTTTCATTTTGGAGGAAATAAAATGAATTAGAGGTGTGTGTTGGTTTTTTTTTTGAGTTACATTTGGGCCAATTATCATGAATCTTTTTTTGTCTCCTACAGCTTTTTTTCAAACAGTAGAGAAATCCAAAGCGTTTCTCTTGGCTCTCTCTCCAGGGACTAATATCTTTAAGTACTTCAAGGCCAGATCCAACTCCCTGACATTTGTCTGCCTTGAACTTGCAAAGCGCTCGTAAGTTTGTTAGCCTCCAAAGCATCAAGAAACTACAATGATCTTTAGACATATTCCATGTGGGAGGTTTTGCAGAAACAGCTTCATACAGCAATAAAATCTACAGCTTGTTCTGGTGAACCTGTGTCAGATGAGGGCAAATAAAATCCTCAGAAGTATAGTAGATATCCAGTTGAGCATGTTACACTGTGAAGATTCATGAATAAAGGAGCTCCTCTGTATCCAGCTTTTATTGTTGTCATTTGCCATAGAAGTGTTGGTTTGAACCCAGATTAAACAAATCTAAGTTGGAAACAGGAACCAGACTAATTCTAACTTTATCATATACACTGCTACAGGTATTGAAGCAAATACTATGGCAGCATTTTATCTTGAAAACTTGACCCCCATCCAATGCTGCAGGAGGGAAGAATTGAGTTTGTTAGAATGCCTTGCTCTGGTCCCATTTATGGCCTCAAATCTGTGAGCCTGCAGAAGTAAGGTATGTATGGAAAAAGTATGTGAGTACAGTGGTAGTAGGCACTGCAATGGCAGTTAACCTGGTACAGCATCTAACCACCAGTGAAGTCACCTGCTGAGTAGCACCGTCTCTGATGAGCAGGAGCCAAGAAATGTGCCAAATTTTCTAGCCTGTCATACCCAGGGACACTGTGGGCAGGATTAATTAAACACTTCAGTTATTTACCTTGTGCTTCTTTACTTGGTTTTGGCTTTTCTCATGTGCACACAGATTTTTGCAACTCTGGCTACTCTGAAACATCTACTTAACAATTACCATCTAAATCAACCTCCAGATGAAGGTATCATTTCCCGTGACTACATATTAAAGAGCTCGATAAAAACAAATATTGTACAGGTAACGGGATTCCAGTTAAGTTACCACCAACTTTAGTCCAAACAAAGGAAAGAGGAACTGTGGAATTATCCTAAAAAAAGACTCCAGCATCTTGACTGACACTTTAATTTGTAAGGATACAAAGATGTCTCCATTTTCAAACCATCTTACAGGAAGTATAGCATCCTTCTTGTATGCCCTTTTGTTTAGTAGAGTCAAAGCTTGACTCACAGAGAGGGTAGTGTTTATTTTAAATGATCAAAGTTAAGGAGCAGTTAATGGCTTGAATACCCACAGTTTATTAAGTTAAATTAAGCTGTACAGGGACTCTTTCTGAGCCATCATTCTAAACAAGGAAAATATCTGTGCCCTTCTTATGCCAAATACCTTTTTTCCCTTCACAACAGTTTTTATCATTTTCAATGACACCATGAGGGAATTGAGCAAACAGCAGAGTCCATAGAGATGTTCAATTCACTCTGAGATCTCACCATCTCAGAAAAGAGATAAGACTTTACAAATTTATTCCCCTCCTTTATTTCAATTACCAAGTTAATGCTTCAGACAATTCCTAACCCAAACTTCTGGCCAAAAGTCTGTTGGCAGGTAAGATAGCAGGCCTAAATCAAATCACACAGATCTTGCAATAAGATTGCATAGCACAATTTCCCCTCTGTAGTAAAAACTGCACTTTCCCCTATTTTCCTACTAGAATTCACTGTAGGATGATGAAACTTCATTATATACACATGACAGGATGTTAAGATAGCATGTCCTTTAAGAAACGCTAACAATATCCAAAGCAAAGTTCAAATCCAAACATTAAAACAACAAAAAACATAGAGTGGGAAAAAGGGAAGATTGCTTACACTAATGAGGTCTTCCCCAGATAACTCTCTCCAAGCCTTTCAAAAATAGAAACTAAAAGAACCAAAGGGCTCTACTATAAACAGTCTGCTACACAAATATGACAAAAACCACCACCAGCCTTCAGCTGCGACCCTTTCATGGTTGTCAAATTAAACCACACACCAACAGTGAGACCCCCTCCTCCTTTGCTTTGGCCACCGGTTCATGCAAATGACAGAGGACCAATAGTTTTTGCCTAGCAACAAGACTGCATGTTCACTACTGATCATGTTCATGATAAGGTAGTGAATACTAACAAAGCTAATGATGAGAAGCGATTCCCTCCTTCGCTGACTCATCCGTACAATTTTAAATCTTCAAAACAAAGAATAATTCATTCATCTAACAAACAGACTAGAAAGAGAAAAGAAGCCATCAATAATAGTTTTTTCTAGCCTACATCCCAGATATTGAAATTAACGCATACCAAGGTACTTTCATCCAAGAAGGCTTGCTAAATGTACAAAAATACAGGTATTTCTACCAAGCCATTAAACTTCCACATCTGTTTATATCTTAGACTCGTTCTAATATTTTCCAGGGTTACATTTAGTACATGGGAACCATCCTGACTGCCATGGGACAGAAGGAGCACTGGCCAAGCATGCTGAACCATCAGCCCCTGAGTATCACCACCTCCCAGGGAGTCAACACTACTCATTCAGGTAACTGCAGAAAAGGTTAATTACTTACAGCAGGATGTCCAGCACAGTAGGTGTAGCTAGCATGGGACTGGTAGTGCAAGCTTGCTCTTGGGAAGGTGTATGTATTCCAAGCAGGTTGGCTGCTATTCCACTGGGAGCTAAAGCCAGGGCTCATGGTCACTCTCGATTTACTGTTTTGGTACGTTCTCACTGTGGAGCTGGACTATCAAAAAAGAAAGAAATGCAAAGTAAAAATAGCTTTTAGGGTAGAATACGAACAATGCAGCTACACAACTTCATTGCGCATGTACAAACTGCCACACAGTCTAGACCAATTTTGAATCATTCCTGTAACAAACTGGGAAAAGCAAAAATTTGGTTCCTTCAAATACACCAGTGAAACAGCTACGTTTCTCTAATGCCCAAAAGCAAGACTGAATGACTGTTAGACTTCAGGCTAGGATGTAAATCAAATAGACAATGCATAGGTAATAGATATAGGAGGTGTTCTGAAAATGCGTAGAAGGTGCCACCTTACAAGTTCCATAGTTGAAACTTCCATATTTATTAATTATAATGAGCTGAATATTATCATTCATTTCACTGCTGATCTGGTGACTAGGATAGGCCAAATCTTTACAAAGCTACTTCTACATTACAAATATGTAACCATCTAAACAGACTTTTAAACATCACAATGTATTGGTTTTTAATTTCTTAAATTGCAAAACAACAACAAAACAAAAAATCTTATTTTATTTATTTTAAGTTAACTCAGTAACTTCAGCTGAAAGTGCCCCCAGACAATATGTGTCATCACTTGCGTTCTTTATGGCTTTCTCTGTTGTTGCTTTAACTGATTTTTTTTCAGTTTCTAGCCCTCTTTTGTCAAAAAATAAAATAAATCCTAATAGATACTTGTACTGATGGGGTGGTTTATTAGTGCAGGAAAACAATGTATTATCAAAAAAGAAGCAGATGATACATTCAAAGTGAATGCTTTTTAGAAGGTATTTAGGTTGGCCTTCAGCATCAGGTAAATCTGCTTTTTTCTCCGTATTCCATTCTACATGTAGGTTTTGCTGCTTTGTTTTTTTCCTTGGTAAAGGTGTTCTCAATATCCCATGCAAATTTACACCAATTAATTGTGATTATTATAACCCCCAAACTGTTCTTTTTAAAGCACTAAATTCATCAAGGCCTTGGTAATGTTACAGTGAAAGCTTTAGAAATACAAACACAAATAATATTTCTTAGAAATACTTATAAACGTCCCTGTTAGTAAATCGATGCTATCGATTTCAAAAGCTATATTCAAGAATGACGCTTCATTTATTTTTATCTTCCTTTCAAAGACAATTTTTATATGCAATATACGTAGCATTAATGACATATTACTACAAGCCACCATCGAACAAGGTGTGTTACACAGCCCAAGACTATCCTTAGCCCAAAGTGCTTACAAGATAAATGAGGACTGGGAGAGAAGGAAAGAAGAGAAACTGATGCAGAAGCAAAGAAAACAGCTTTGGAAGCACGACTTTCGGTTTCATTTCAGTGCTTCAGCTCAGTTTCTCTGGGTGAGGATTAGTGAAATGGAAGGAAAAGGAATGGAGTAAAGACATTCAAAAAGGGCTTAAGGATGCATCTGAGCTATAAAAATATATATCTTGTATAATCTTTCCTATTTTTATAACGTGTTTAGATGAGCTGGTTTTAGAAATTACTACAGTAGATGCCACATTGGCATCTGCTGAACATGCCACATTTATTTTGTTTAATTTTCAAAAGCTTAAGTACACAAAGTTTGCCTCAGTTATCAGCTGCTGTATAAACTTGAAGTTCAAGAAAAGGCCAAATGACTTCCTGCATGTGTTTATTTCCTGTACTGCCGATTAGGAAGCCTGAAAAGAGCAGTTTCCGCTCAACAGTTCTTAATATCTCGACAGATTCGCCTCCCGCCCCCACCCCTAAGCGAAGGATTCCTGCGGTGTGATTTCTAAAGATTTAACTTACGACTAGCTGAACACAAAGCGTATGAATGAACACTAAAACCCACACTAAACTCTCATTAGTCACTGTGTGTGACAAGTGGTTACTTTGTTCTTACAAAAGGCTTTAGGAAAAAAAATCTGCCCCTACAGTTAAAGGGGCTTATTTGAAATAAATCTTTTTGTATGAATTTAAATCATGACATATCAAAGGAAAGAGGCTATGGCTGCAGCTAGAGAAAAACTGAAGGGTTTTAATGTTGTGTTTTTATTTTTTTTCTTTTCTTTTCTTTTATTTCTTCCCCTTTTACCCTCTTTCCCCAAGGAGCAGAAACGGTATTTTCTTTCCTTTGACGTATTACTTATCTTTCAGATCACTCCTCAAAGACAAATCTCTCTTTCTAGGTCCTGGTAGACTTGCTCCTACATCAGAGATGAGGGCTAGGTTTTGTTTTGGACAGATCAAGCAGAGTTTTAGCCATAATGTACTTCTTCACGTACATTTCTCTCCTTTATAAACATCAGGTATTTGAGCGTTGCTGCTTATTAACTCCTCTTGAGCAGTTCATCCCTAGACGAATATTGTGTGCATATTGAGCTGCCGTACCCAGACAATAGCTCTGTTCCCTCCTATTATTTCTGATATGTCTGTATTGTATGAACCAGTGGAAATACCTCTCTGGATGATGGGATGTGAAGATGTATTGTCAGCTGTGGTGATTGTTAACTGGTTATTTTCCCCTTGTGTGTGTGCTACACAAAACCCATTCCTGTACCTAACCCCTGGGGCTGCATTCGGGGACAGAAAGGAACCCCACCATTCCCTTTCTGCTCTTCCACCCCTCTTGCATCATACGGTGAACATATGAGAAGTTGTACCATGCCATAAAGCTTAGAGGACTGAAAGCACAGGGTCCTGCAGCCAGTGGAGGACCCTGTGCTGGAGGAGGTTTCCTGAAGGAACTGAGGCCCATGAGGAGGGCCTGAGCAGTGTGAGGAGGAAGGAGTGCCAGGGCGGTGCTGCTGTTCCCTTGAGGAGCTACGAGCGAAGGAGTGAAGTTGAGCCTGAGGAACAGGGTGGGGAGGAAGCATTGTTTGAATTTTTCTTTGCTTCTCATTAATTGGCAATGGATTAAGTTAATTTTCCTCAAGTCGAGTCTGTTTGCATGATGGTAATTGGTGAGCCATCTTCCTGCCTTTATCCAGGAAGCTTTACTCAGGAGCTTTTCCTTCTCATTTTCTCCCTGGCTTGTTGAGGAAGGGGAGAAAAAGGGGGGGGGGGCACCTGGCAGACAGCAAAGGTCATCCTACCACAAATTGGCAAGTTTTGTGGCACACAAGCTTTTATTCAGCATGTGAAAGTTCACCTATTACCCCAACTGTACCACTTACTCCAACAAAAGATAGCACTTCTCCACATAACGCTATCTTATTTATATCCCCTACGTCATCAGTGTTACAGCACCTGGGACCACCTGATCAACTTTTCTCTGAAAATTTCTGCAGAAAATTATCAGACTGCAACAAAATAAAACTATTGTCCTGCTTGTTATGACTTAACAGAAACAAGATATATTACAAAGATGGGGGTGATTTTTTTTTCCTTGAACAAGTCACTCAGGCACTTTTATACCCTAAAAGTCTGATGCAACCTAAAATTGGCATTGCTAAAATTGATATCGAAGCGTATTTTAAAATATGATCCTGTTTATTCTGTGCCTTAGTTTTTCAGCCTTATAAATACAGATAATCTTATTCTTAAAATTTTAGGCTTTCTTTCCCTCAGGTTTGTAAAAGTTTTGAACATTTTTGGACATAAGCATGACTGAAGTACATGGTATTATTCGTATTATTTCTACTTCTTCAGCTTAACTGCTTTCAGGTCTTAGTTCTTTTACTAGCTGATATGCGAAGTCTAACAGTGGAAAAAATAGACATAGTATTCATGGAGCATTTTTATCTTTAAAGCACTGTGCAGATGTTAAACAGGGGCAAAATTTCTGACTGGTATGCTGTTTCCAACTTTTTAAGAAGTTTATAGTAGATGTAAGAACTACCTGGCACTCCTTCCTATTTGCACGTGAGTAAAGCACACAATTTGATTAGGATGTTAAGTAACATAGATAGTTCTGATGTAGACTTAGAAGTCCTCATGTCATCACACATGATCCCTACTCTTTAGCAATACAACAGCATCCTGCAGAAATTAACAAGAAAAATATGTGCTAATTCTGAAATTCTACATCACTTCAAATGCAAGAGTGACTGCATCTATCAAATATCCTTCTACTAACTGTTCCAAAATGTTGTGATTAATAATGGCTTTGGCACTCCAAAAGAAGTGAGAGGCTCAATTATTCACCTCTACTTTCTCTCTCTACTTGTACTACCTTAAAAACAAAAAAAAAAAAAAAAAAAAAAAAAGACAAGTGGGAATAAAGAGGTGTAAATAACATCTGAATTCAGCCTCCCACTACCTCATCTTCAAAAAGCAACTTACCAGAGCTATGATGTCATTTTCTTAGCCCACACAACTTGAGCTGTCTCCAGTCCCTTGGATTTTGATTACAGAATAGTTCTGTCTTTAAATGTACCTTTTTTTTTTTTTTTCTTCTTTTCTTTTTTTGGTTTGTTTTTTGTGTGTTTGTTTTTTTTTTGGATTTATGTAAAATGATTACATGAGCTGGGTAAGGCCAAGTAAATAACCATCCTGGAGATGCTGCTTGCTTCGTCTCCTCATGCCTGTATTTGGATGAGACCATGATGCAAAGCACAGCCCTGCACTCTTAAAAGTTTGGATGCTTTACAAAACACTACTGTTCCCATAGAAATCAAAGTTTTCCTATAACTGGAAGAGTCAGGAATGAAAAGAGCTGCCCTGGAACACTATTGCATGCGCTAAAATGATGCGTTTGTTTTCTTGCTCACAGAAAATATGAAACTGGCAAACCAAATCTGAAAGTAGTTCATCACAAAACCCACCTGAGAGACCTTGAAGACTGTAGTAATTGCAAAACTGAAGACAATGAGAGGGTTTTTTTTGCCTTTTTTAAGTTTTCATAACAATTCAAAATGAAAAAAGAAAAAAAAAACAGTAAAGATATTTCAGAATATATATATATTTTTTTCAATAGCAGGAACAAATAGTTTTGTGCTGCTACTTTTCCAAACAGAATCCTTCACTATTTCTTGCTAATCATTTGCAGTCTAGAACCAGATTCCATCTGTTTCA